AGATGACGTAGATACATGACTTGTTTGGTGGCCTGTTAGACACAGACATGTAGAGGGTACAGAGCACGTGGTAGGGCTTATATTAATGCTTGACAAAGTGGACATCTAGCTCATGTAGGCACCCACTTTAGGCCTATGTGGTATGTAGGCCACACGCCTAGATCTTCGGAGTGCTTAGGAGAGCATGAGCTGCTTCCGTGGACTGCACTGCTTAGGTCTTAGTTGTAATTTCTTCTGCTGCAGCCTCACATCCTCTTAGCTTCTTCTAAATTCTGACCTTCACTAACTATGAACACATCCACTTCTTTTGAGTCTTAGAAAACCTCCTCTACCACCACCTAACAAAGAAAGAAATTCATCTTGGTTTGCGCCTAGTGCTATTTATAACATTGACATTTAGTATCAATTATGTAATTAAAAAATAAAGTAAATGAAAACCGCCCAAGTCCTACATAGGCTCTAGATGTCAGGTCAACTCCTAGGTTATCTAACACTTTCTGTAACCTTGCTTAATAGAGAGAACAATGAATATGCACATCACAATGATATCCCTTTTAGGCATGTGGAAAGTAATATCACTAAGAATGTGAAGATAGTATTCTTTTTTTTATGGTAAGCATGACCCTAACCCTCAGTAGTTCAATGACTAGCTCGCCGACATGGATCATCACTTTGACTAGTGTGTCATGTTAGAGAGATTTATGATTAGATTTGCTAGACTGAAGTTATTAGGATCAACCAAGATCTATTGGATTTTTTAAAAAAGACAAGTAGCTACAATACTTAAGGATCCTATTGAGATGTGGGATGGAATGAAAGAGTAGCTGAAAGAGAAGTATCTTCCGACCTCCAATCTAGATAGATTGATGGACCAATTATCCATCTTATGTTAGGGAAACTTGTTTGTGACGAGATACATGGACAAGTTTGATAGCTTAGTTGTTGATTGTCATCTTTTGAAAGACCTCGCTTTACATTACACTGGATTGCAAGCTAACATCCAGCATAAGATTCACACATTAAATGACTTTTGTAGACGACAGTTACCACCTAGCCTCAGAGATAGAGCAGTACTTTGAGGAACCTAGCTTTAAGTTGCATACATCTCTAAAGCAACTTAAGCAATTTGACATGAACGATAATCTAAGAATCCTTCCTCTTAAGGATAGAAAAAATAAGTCAATTAGTCATGAGTCATCTAAGCAGGACCTAAATATTATGCTGGTGAGGGATGATCATACTTATTAGTGTCTTCCTAGAAGTCTTCTTATTGAGTGCTCAATAACTATGGTAGCACGATGATAAGACCAATGATTTTGAGGCTGTTGTAGAAGTCTATATTCCTGAGGAAGACACTAGTGACATTGAGGATACATTTGTAGTCGCTGACGCACACGTATACATCGTTAGACGTTTACTTGTTTCACCTTGGGGTGATGTAGATTTGTAAAGGACTAGTATATCTCACACCTATTCTAATAAGCATAATTTTTATAAAGTAATGATTGATGGATAGTGATGTGACTGTTGTCGTTAAATCAGTTGCAGATATGTGAAAATTAATACTTGAACCTCATCCACAACCATATAGCACTTCTTGGGTTGGGTTGATAAGACCACATCACACATCCTGGTGCCTAGTTGTTTAGTTCATATACAGATATTAAGTTATGAGGCTTGCATTCCATGTGATGTCCATCTTAACTGCAAATATTATTGCTGACACACTTTATAAGGGATTTCCCAACTTTTGATTAACGACCTTAGTTTGATCATTCATTTGAGGATAATTAGACGAGCTGAATTTGAGTTTTTCTGAATTTTTTCACAAGTTATGTCATAAGTGACCTACAAGCTTCGGATAATAATTGGAAGTGATTGTTTTAGGAATCTCATGATGTTTAATAATTTCTTGAAACCAAAGATCAACGACATGAGGAGCATTCAGGAGTTTGTTGCAAGAAATAAAATGCGTCATTTTGGAAAAATCGATCAACAACCATGCTCTAATAATGCATAAGTAATAGAAGACCAAGCGTCATGCATAACCTTCATTGGTTTATTCATAACTTCTCCTAGAAGACCTCAAGTAGCTCTCCGTTTTAAGCATGGGAAAGCTTTGTAAGTCTATTTTCAATTAAAGCCAGTGGTGCATGCATCAGATATCTCCATAGAAAGTTATTACCGGAATAATGTAGTCAGATTGGACTACATGAAGACTGTTATGTTTTCTAATATATCTTTAGTTTCTTTATGTTATTAATCAAGTCAAATAGGCCTTTCAGTTTTCTGTGTTATTAATGAGTCTTTTAAATATTCAATATATAATCCTAATGCCTGAAGGGATATTGCATGTCTATAAATATTTAAATAGTCTTAACTTGTTTGGGATTGAGGGGAATGAGGGTGAAGGGAAGTTAGGGGAACCATTCACCTTCATTCACCTTGTTTGGGAACACTTAGAGGTGAAGTTAATTCACCCTAGTTCCTCTTGGTTCACCCCCTAATAGTATAAAAATTGTTACCCCCAAAATTGGGGTGTAACCAAGGGGAAGGGAACTCCCTTCCCTTCCCTTCCCTTCATTCAGTTTCCCTTAACTTCCCTTCACCCCCTACAAATCCAAACAGGCCCTTAGGGAAAAGGCAAATTTGGGTTTGAATTATAAGTAAAACATTGTGACTTGCCTTCACTCTGCAATTTTTTGGGTTTTCATTGTGTGTTGTCCCTATCTCTAAGGTAGGGTCACAGTTGTGAATTGTCTTATCTATCTGGAGCGGTGATATATGTATCTGTAGAGTGATCGACTAGCCTTATTTATTTGTTGTTTGTTCTAAGGTGGTGAAATCTATATCCTTAGAGTGATCTACTTCCTATCTGAAATCAAAGTCATCCATCTTTTTCATATCATGCCAGTATTGTCACCGCATCTCTGTATCGGAGATATGTGTATTTCTAGAGTGGTCGGCTAATCCCAGTTATAAGTCATTAGCTCTAAGGTAATACAGCTGTATCCTTTCGTAGGGCGATCGACTTCCTATCCAAAAATTGCTTTCATCCAACTTTCCTATTATGTGTTGGTATCAGTTTGAAACCTTAATTGACACGAGGCTATTGCTCCAAGTGTGAGGCAGTTGACCTAGGTGTGAGATTATTAATCCAGAAGTGAGGTCAAATCTTTATTTTCTTCTTTTTTCCTTTCTTTTCTCTCTCTTATAGCGCCTTATAGCGCCCCCCACCCCTCCCCTTCTTTATTTCAGGTCCCATCATTGAGATAAATGAATTTGCAAAAATCAAGATAATGATATTGGTTAGTGATTACTTAATGAGAGATGGTTGGTTTACGATGTTCCAATTCTTGTTTCTTCATCGATGTAGTATTTGGAATCATTGCTCATGCTATTCAACTCTCATAATAATACTTAAAAGTTCTTTAGGTGTCGTTTGTCAAAGGGTTAAGTAAGGGATTAAGAAGAAACCCGCCAAACACAAAAAATCTATACAAGGGTTAAAATGAGTTAACCCTCCATAATTTGCCAAACATAAAAAATATAGAATGGTTAAGCTAACCCCTCTAGAGGGATTAAAATGAGTTAACCTCTCAAAATAAGGGGTTTACTAATACTCCTATTTAGAAAGAGTAAGTGTTAACCCTTATGGTACCGTTTGGCAAAGGATTAAGTGAGGGGTTAAGGAGACTTAACTCCTTCTTAACCTGCCAAACACAACAAATCTATATAAGGGTTAAAGTGAGTTAACCCTCCATAATTTGCCAAACATAAAAAATATAGAAGGGTTAAGTTAACCCCTCTAGAGGGGTTAAAATGAGTTAACCCCTCAAATGAGGGGTTTACTAATACTCCTATTTAGATGGAATAAGAGTTAACCCTTCTAATTATAAAGAAAATAGTCAAAATCATTGTTATTCCCAAACACTAAAATTGATCATAAGGACTAAAATAAAACTTATTTAACGGGTTAATAATTTAGTCCTTCGGATTATCAAATGGGCTAAGTACATTAATCATTCTCTTTAACCCCTCTTCATTAACCCTTTACCAAACGGGGCCTATAATTATAAAAAAATAGTCAAAATCATTGTTATTCCCAAACACTAAAAATGATCACAATGACTAAAATAAAACTTATATAAGGAGTTAATAATTTAGTCTTTCGGATTATCAAGTAGGTTAGCTATGTTAATCATTCTACTTAATCCCTCTTCCTTAACCCTTTACCAAACGGGGCCTTAAAGAATTATGGAATTGGACTTGTGGCGTCCAATTCCATACTCTTGCTACACTGCAGACAGTGAAGATAGATCTATTTTACTGAATGTGGTTGAACATATTGAATTCATACTATATAGCCTCTGGACAACATTCAAGGAGAAAGAAAAACAGTTCCACCGGATCGCTTAGGTTGCTATTTGCTAGATTGCCCTTTGTTGAGGTAGCTAATATGCAATCATAAGGTAAGAAAATTGTCCTAATACTAAAACTTTGTTTTTGCACTTCTTAGTTAGTGGCTCAAGAAAATTAGTGGCTCAAGAAAATTACTACTGGGGGTGGGGGAGGATAACCTGAGCTCCGATCTATATGGAACTTCGGTCTCCCCCTTATCCTGCCAAAGGAAATTTTTCATACAACGAATTAATTTAACTTGCACCAAAATTCCAACCCCCCACTTTTCTGTTTAGCTGTAACAGTTGAAGAATAGGACATTTCAAAAAAAAAAAATTGAAGAATAGGATTTCTTCTAGAGAGCACTGCTTTAATTCTTTATTTACTCCAGGATGAAGCACAAGAACAAAGCGTTTACATTAGATTTTATCTGTTTGCTGGAACTTATCTTTAAATTGACCGGCATTGTTATTTCAGCCGGCACACATTGTTTTATATTACATGCCAAGAGAGATTGGTTTGCTACATGAGTAGATGTAATATTGCTTCACACTAATTTCTTGCAGGATACGATGGCAATCTTGGTTCATTTCTTGCAGGATATAATGGCATGCTAGCTTACCAGCTTCCAGGAGGTTTTGGTTGCTTTCAGCTTTCTTGAAGACGAGCCACTCAATGTCAGTAGCTTTTAATGGCCGTGAGCAGTTGGTTGCTTTCGGCTTTCTCGAAGATGAGCCACTTAATATTAGTAAGCCTTTAATGGCCATGAGCAGCATCAGAATTTTGGAATATAAATCATTATATTTGATAAGACTACATATTACTCTGAAGCGTGCTTAATATTTTGTTTTCAATTCTTGGTCTGGACCTATTATGTATTGTGTTGTGATCTTGGCATAACGATGATGATTTTTTTTTTCTCCCTCTCTCCCCCCCCCCCCCCC